CCCCAAAACCCCAAAACCCCAAAATGACAAAGTCTACAAAAATAGTAATGAGTAATAAATAGAGTATTGCTTAAATCAAGGACAACCCTAGTCTCTTATAATAGTACTATTTTAAAAATTTAATATTTTCGTATATATAATTTGAATTAATGGACTCTCAAACTTCGAAGTCATATATGGCACCTCTGAAGAACAAATTAGAGGAAGGAACTTTCATAGTAGGAAGTATTGGAGCAGGGTATGTAGGAGCAATTACTTCAATAATCTTAGCAGCTAGATAGCCAAATTTGAAAATTATAGTCTGTGATGTGATGCAAGAATAGATTAATAAATGGAATGAAGGACGATTCCCATTTTATGAGCCAGATCTTGAAAAATACTATGATATTGCAGTGAACGTAAACAAAAATATTACTTTCACAGTTGATGTTGGTAATTGCATAGACTAATCAGATGCTTTGTTTATTTGTGTGAATACACCTCCCAAAGTTGACTCTGATGCTGTACTTGGAAAAGAAGCTGATATGACATACTTTGATGCAGCGATTAGGAATATCTCCAACTATGGCAACCCTGAAAAACATAAGATTCTTATTGAAAAGAGTACTGTTCCAGTAGGTACATATAAGCGTATCAATTCTTTATTGGGAGAGAAAATCTAAAACCCAGAGGCTTGTTTCACCATAGTAAATATGCCAGAATTTTTAGCTGAAGGGTTAGCTGTTTAAAGACTTTTAAATCCTGACAGGATAGTTATAGGGACTACTGAGGATTTAAATGGATAAGAAGCATTTGAAGTGATCAAGGGACTATATACAAACACGGAAACATTATTCTTAAAACTTAGAACTCCTAGCAGTGAGCTGGCTAAATTATTCATTAATGGGATGCTAGCATAGCGAGTAACTTCAATGAATTCTATGACATATCTTTGTGAAAAATTTGGAGGAAGCATATAGGAGGTACAGCGAATGACAGGTAGTGACCCAAGAATAGGTCCTCTTTGGCTACAGGCCTCTCCAGGTTTTGGTGGGAGTTGTTTTGAGAAAGACATCTTAAGTTTGATCTATATATTTGAATCAGAGGGACAGCAAGCTTAGGCTTTGTACTGGAAAGCCTTGCTTAATATGAATGATGCATAAAAGCATAGAATTTTAGACATGATTATTTCTGAGTTCCCTGAACCAGAGAGTACCACTCTTACATTATTTGGATTCGCTTTCAAAAAGAATACTTCTGATACCAGATTGACAGCAATAGCATATATTGCTAATGGCCTTATTCACAAGGGATATCACGTTAAGATCCATGATCCAAAGGTGACAGAGAGAAGTTTTCATTTTGAGATGGAAGTTTAAGGTTTTAACATTGTAGAAAAGACAAATTACGAATTCTGTGGATCTGACTATAGAAAAGCAGTTTCAGGATCAAGCGCAATTATCATTGGCACTGAATGGGATGAATACAACGAATTAAACTATAACGAGCTGATTACATTGATGGATGGAGATAAGAAAAACTTGTATGATTTTAGATCATATGTTGATGTATAACAAATACAATAAGCAGGATTTAGCAAAGTCTTTAAACTAGGAAATTGAAGAAATAACAAGGACTAAACGGTTTTACCATAGTGGAAAATTCCAAAATTAATTTAATAGTCATATTTATCATATTCTTTATTTCATTTATTACTACTAAATGGGGTTTTGGGGTTTTGGGGTTTTGGGG